GAAAAACTACGAGGTGAGATAACTCAGTAAGTAAAATATGGAGTGCCCTTTGTTAAACTTAAAGCATGCCAACAAGTACAATCACGAAAAACAGTTACAGTACGGGAACCAAATAGACGTCTCCTCTATAGGTCATGACCAGTGTTATAAACCTCCCACTGGCAGGCACACGATTTACTAGTGTATAACCCCGACTAGCAGGGTCACTCAAACTAATCGGTTCTATCAATAATATGTCGACATGTGCTAGCGTTTATAAATCTCCCACTAGCGGGTACACGAATAACATGACCATATCGGGGACAAAACCAGGTAAGATTTACAGAAAAATCGATGATTCACAATCACTCAATTTCACGAATAACCTAGAAAATTTCCATGTGGGCATGGATTTAACAGAAAAATCAAAATTCACCAATCACTTTCAGATCATCAGGACAATCAATTAAATTTCAAGTAGGCATGCTCAATTTAATGAAAAGCATAAAAATTTCACTTCAAATCAGTCATGCTCGTGTAAAACGGGTTTAGTCCCGCCACCATTTCAAAACCATCAAAATTTGCTTTTAAAAGCTTTACCTTAAATCTAGGGCATTACCATAAGTTACTTACTCCACTCGCATAAACCGAAGACTCGATCTCAGTGCTAACTGACAGAACGATCAGGAATCTAATCAAAATATTTAAGAATTAATAACCATTTCCCTTTTCATTTTCCCATCACGTTCTCAACAACCAAACAAAACCCCAAGCAATAATACATCACTACTGGACAAAAATTAATCCAATGCCATAACTAATGTATTCCATGAGATTTTCTACTCCAATTAATTAAAATTCAACGGATGAACAGTGCACGTGAACAGTAACTGCAACTTCTAGAATTTGGCAAGGAGCAGAATTTTGCGGTAAATGGCAAGAAATTTGGGGGGAAACAATGCAGAAAAATAGCAAGGAAAAATGCTGCAAAATGCAGAATTTTTCTGGAGAAAATACAGAGTTTTCTGGTCAAAAACAGTGCAGGAAAATGCAGAATGTTTCTGCGTGAACAGTGAAATCAGCAGCAACTTGCAGAAAAATGCAGCAGCAAGTGCAGAAAAATGCAGCAGCAAGTTTGCAGAAAAATGCAGCAGAAAATGCAGAAAACGCAGCAGCAAATTGCAAAATTTCCTGCGTGAACAGTAAAATTTTGGCAAAACAGCAGGATTTTCCACATAGAACAGCAGCTAATTTCAAGCCAAAAACAGGTTTATTTCTACATGAATTAAGCTAAAAAAAACATGTTTAAAATGCTGCCAAATTCTTCCATATTTCTGCAGAAATTCGGACAGCACAACAGAGGGTTTTTGGATAACACGGCAGCAACAAATTGGTAAAATTCAACAACACAAGGCAGCAACTAATTAACCATTTTCGGACTTAAAGATGCCATCAACATACCAGTATTTTTCCAGCAGCCAAAACCGGAGCTGGCGGGTATGGAGGCCGACGGAGACTGGAGAACAAATCATGAAAACTACCACAAAATTGCAAGAAACAAAAGGGATTAGAGTGACCCAAGCCAAATTAAAGCTAAAGAGATGAACTTGAAGCTGGTTTTTACCAAAAATCCCGAAGGATTCACACCCAGCAGAACAGCGGACAGACCGAGGGGAAGAAACAGAGCAGATCTTAAATTCCCACTTCAAAGGGAGGGTTCTAGGTCCTAAAATCAGTTCTTTAACAAGAAAAGGAAGGGAAAAATTAAGCTTGTTACCAATTTTTCTCAGAAGGGATGAGTCGGTGGCTTAGGGGAGCTTCGGTCGGCAGAGGAGAAGAAAATGAAGATGAAGAAGAGCAAAACACGTGGCTGAGGACAAAAATATCAGCCTTGATCCTTATCCAAATTTCCTTTCTTTTTAGTCCCTGAACTTTGAAATTTTTTGCTATTACATTCATTAATAATATTTCTTCGCAATTAAGTCCCCAACTCACTTTAATACTCTAGAAATTTTGGGGTATTACATAAAATTTAAAAAAAAATTATTATTTTTAATTTTATTTAATTAAATAAAAATATTATCATTTCCTCTCCTTTACTTTTGTCTATCCAAGCAAGACTAAAATCAACTTTTCCCATCCCTTCACTTCTCCTCCTTTCCCCTCCTTTCCTTAACTAATTTTTATTTAAACAAACACTTAATAAAGTAAATATAAATAGGTTAAAAAATTATTATACAATCTAAATTATATAACTTCAAGTAGTTTGGCGCCAATCTCATATATTGGAAGTTGTTTTGGTAGTCCAACTCTAAGGCTTAATTTAATAGATAGTCTAGTAGCTTTTATATATATATATATATATATATTAGCTTAATTTAACAAAT